GCAGTGAAACAGAAATAGCACTTCCCAGCCTATCTATGAGATTTTACTATAGGAATTGACATGTAACATGCATGTTTAATTTGTGTTAGTCTCTTTTTCGATTTTTGCAGGCCTCGTTATTGTCTTTTCAGTACCTTTTATATTTACTGTGCATTTATGTATTTGTAGTGCATATCTTGGCCACCATAAGAACATTACAGAGATCACTTAAAGCTTATCAAGACATGAATCTCAGTGACTTCACTTTATTTATTTTGAAAAATCTGTAAATAACTGACAATCATGTAATTTACAAGGTGGATTAAAACTGTCCCCAGAGCCAGAAGGGCTCGCAATAGGTAGATCAGGATGCAGAGGCCTCAGTCGCTTACTGTTCCCCAGTTCTCTTGGCACCGCCCCCTCATGCTTTCCCTGCAGGTGGTTGGCCCACTGGGGCATGTCCTCATTTCATTCCTTTGGGCTCTGCCCGGCTGTGTCCCAGGAGAAAGAACCTGACCACCAGACGCTCGCCAACAAACCCCAGGACTGGTTCAAGGGTGAGATCCTGGCTCCGCCATACTGGGCAGCACTAGGTGCCTCGATTATTTTGTTTTGTTTGTTTTCTCTTCCATATAGAGTGAAGGTGGCTTGCAAAACATTTTTGGATGCTCCTGGACACCTACAGTATGTACCTTGGGAAGTTTCAAGCCTATTTTTTGGTGTATGCAAGCTACATTAACCAGATCCCAGGGCCCATATAATTAACTGAATAACTACCATTCAAGGCTTATTCTTTTCTCTATAATTTTTTGACTGTTTGTTCATTAGCATGTGTAAGACAAAGAGAAGGACAAAAGAAGAGCTAGCAGACAGAGCTGATAGTTTAACTGCAAAGTGGAGACATAACAGAATTAAGTTAGTCATTAGTCTGATTGATATGATGTGTTTCAGAGCAATAATTATAGTAATACTACTAATAATAATAGCTACATATTCAAAACTATATAAAAAACATAAAACTATGAAATAAAATTTTCTTTAAAATTTCTTTTTTTTTAATCCAGATTCTATGAAAACAGCGGGATTAAAGAGTTGTCTAGCAAATTGCAATGTCTCTGGTAATTGCATTTTTTGTGTTGTAAAATGTTTGACCTGGGTATTACATAAATAAAACTCAGTTACAAACATTTCTACCAGCAAAAAAAGGTGTAATGGCATAAATAAAGTGTTCTATATAGTGACAGTAAATCTTCACCATTTTTGTGTGGAGGGGACATAAAGAAGCGTGTTGGTAATGACAAAGAAATTAGGCTTGGCCTGGGTTTGAATTTCTATTTGCAGCCTAAACTGTTAGAGAACACAAATATATCATGATGTCAATCTCTCCTCTGTGTCTTGAAATATCCTCCACAAAGACCTCCAACCTATAGTCCCTGACTGCGCAGTTTATGTGACTGTAGATAGAGCTAAGAGGCCCTAAGATTGATGGATCAGAGACTGGCTCCACACACACTCACAGTAACACGTACACCAGCAAAGCTGCCTTGGGATTGAACCTGCCATCTTTAGTACAAAGCTTTAGATCATGACCGATTGTGAACTATTTACAGTTGTGTCAAAATTATGGGGTGAAATATGCTGTGGCATGCCAAGGGCCGAACTGAAAACTAATGCATTGATCAGGATCTTTATCTTTTCTCCTTAAACATTTCTCCTCTCTTTTTCCTCCTATTCTCATTTTAAATCCTGCCTGTTGGTAATTTATTTCAGGGGTTGTCTAAGACTCTGGAGCTCCAATCAACTCAGTCCTCAACCCTGTATGACGTTCATAGCATTACAATTGAGCCATCATTCTGTCAGGAATACCCCCACCAGGAAAGCAGCATAGGGAATCACAGGAGGAGGACAAGTTTACCTTAGCTTCTCTGTTCCTTCTCGGTGCTCGAAACATAACAAGCTCAGTAAAACTGAGACATCATCTAACAGAGTTAAAATGTTAATTATTATGAGCCAATCTGTTTTAATTGCTAAAAATTTTCATCCTCATTTTCCTAAAGCTGGGTACTTCTTTTTTTATCACTGATTTGTGTCATGATGGGTAAACGGAGGCAAGCCCATATGCAGAACACACACGGAGGAGGCAGGGAAAAAGTTCAAATGTTTATTAAAAGTTCTGAACATGAGATCGTAAACAAGTTCTGAGACTGGTTCACTGAAGTCTTGACTGGGACCGGAGACTGTGGGTTAGCAGAGTTCATGAGAAGCTAAGCGTCGAGCTTCAGGCTTAGCTTGGCAGACCTAGATCTGAGCTTCCAGCTCATTGCAGAGAACAAAAGGGAATATCCACATAGGATTCTTCAGGCTGAGCTTCCAGCTCATTGCAGAGAACAACAGGGAATATCCACATAGGATTCTTCAGGCTGATTCCACATAGGAATCTTCAGGTAAACTCCACATAGAAGTCTTCAGGTTAAATCCACATAGGAATCTTCAGGTTGGCTCACCAGGGCAGATTAGCAGGTTAAGCTCACCTAGAGCTTCAGGCTAGAGACAGGTTTCCTGTGTGGCAGCTCTCCCAGAGCTTCAGACTAGCGACAGGTTTCCTGTGAGGCACAGACAAAGGAGAGATTAGAATCTGATCTCACACTAGAGATAACTAAGATTCTTCCAGTAACAGAGGCTCAGGTTGCTAACCAAACTAAGATCAACACTGCGGCGTGGAAGCAAGGTCTGGCAGGAGCTTATAAAGGGGTAGTCTCCTGATGAGTAGATGCATAACAGGTGTGCTGGAAGATTCCAGCTCCAGGAGACCCACAGCGCCCTCTGCTGGAGGAAGGTGGTAAAGCTCCAGATCCCAACTGTAACTCCAGTCTAAGAGAAAATAACAAAGAGCAGAAGAGGATCCTCGGCGCCCTCTGGTGGGCAAGCCTGAGGATCCCAACAATTTGCTGATCCCCACTCTCTTTGATTCTACTTTTCTCCTGTAATACTGCATCTCAAATTTATACAGTGTCTTCCAAATATATTCATACCCTTAACTTTTTTATTTCATATAATAACACATTACTTGGATTTAATTTGATTGAAGAAAACAAAGTTGTCTATGACTTTATGGTGGAAAAAACTATGCATAGTTTTCAATGTTGTTTTTTCATATAATTATTTGTAAAGTTACACTACAAATATATTTAGCCCCTTCCTCGCCTTGTAACCCCCGTGCCACAAACAAGACTTGGACTCTGTAAACGGGAAATATATATTCTTCCAGCGAACACAATCTCGCTGTTAAACTAATGACTACAATTACTTCGTCTGTTTATATCACCATGCAAAGCAGCTCACCAAAACGTCACAAAAATGTAGAAAAAAATAACGGGTATATTTATTATCTTAAGTCTACATGAAATCTATACCCTACACAGACTAATGAAATACTATCTGTAAAATTATCTATGTAAACAAACCTCATCACTTGAGAAGGTAGGTGATGCGGACGTCGTGGAAGACATTTTGTCCGTAACGCTCGCCATACTGTTGGGGGGGAGATGTTCATGTTGCTGCGGTCTGCAGTCTGGACGTTAGATGTCGGTGAAAATTACACACTATAGCTTTAAAGAGGGATGACAGAGTTTTCTAATGATTCTGCCACCTGTGGTCAAAACACAGAACTGCACCACTCTTCTGATGGTTCTTATAGGTCGTGCTCGTACTTAAAAAGGTTTATTTTATAATTTTTTTCCCTTACCTGGATTTGCCATTGGTGTCTGTGTGGATTGATTTTGAATATAATGCTTCAATTTTTTTGCTACACTGCAAAAACGAGCTAGAAATAAGTACAAATTTCTTAAATGAAGTGTATTCACCCTTAATTTGAGTAGGTAAATTAGATGATTTGCCAATGGAATGAGTATTTTTACTCTTAAAATAAGATATTTAGATAATATGCACTTGAAATAAGAGAATTCAACTGTGTTTTCTTATTTTAAGTGTAAATTGTCCTGTTCCATTGGCAAAATGTATCTTTTACCTCCTCAATGCAAGAACAAATGCACTTATTTGAAGAAAAAATGACTTATCTAGATTTAGACTTTTTGCAGTGTAGGTCGTACTCATTCAACACAGACGCATTTGACGTCACAGCCGCACTCTTGTTTTATTTCTTAATTTCTTTTTTTTCTCTCTCTCTCTCTCTCCTTTTGGCTTTGATCTTAGAAATAAAAAACTGTAAAGCAATTTGTTAGAGGTATCATGGAGGAACTATCTGGCAATGCCTGAGCTCAGTCTCAGGTTATTTTTAACCTAGTATTATTTTTGTTTTCAACCTCCTGTGCCGTGATTAGATGCCCTCTCGACTCAGTGCAGGAGGTGGGAAACAAAAAATAACATCTCCATAAGATAATGTCTCCCACCCCATGCATAAAGCTGCTGCTGAACTGGAATGTTCCTTCGCTGACAGCCTGATGCACCCTAAGTGCACCAAGGAGTGTTATCACAGATCCTTCCCCCAGCAGCTGTAAGACTTTATAACCATCACTGCTCCCAGCAGCCTCAATTAGTTGCTAGTACATTCATGCTGATTTTTGCACAGCTTAGTTAAATAACGCTTCTGTCATTTTTGCACATCTTTTGTGCTGCTGATATTTTTTACACATCCATTACTGTAAAAATGTCCACAGCTGTACATTGATATTTTTTTTATACTGATGCACAGTATTTATATTGTTAAAACACTGTACAGTACAGTATTTTATTTCTGTGACAGCTTTTGCTATAATCTTTTGCTGCTGTAATGCCACAATTTCCCCATTGTGGGACGAATAAAATAGATTTTCTATTCCCATTTTTGTGAAATCCTTTCATGTCAGTGCTGGCAAAATTTCTAAAAAAAATTATTCCTGTACTATATTTCTTTCAGTTTAATTGTTTTATTTTGTAACACAAAATACATTGTCACCATACTCACCTGTACAACATTCAAAACACTTACTCTTTTGTTTTCTGCATGTCCTTGCTTCTTTCAGATTGAGCTCCTGTAAGGAGGAGATAAAGCCCCCCAGCAGGGCTGGACCACAGCTTTCACCTTCCGATTTCCTGGACAAGCTCATGGGGAAAACATCAGGATACGATGCACGCATCAGACCCAATTTCAAAGGTACACTGTATTCCAAGGTAGACCCTCACAGCAGCAATCAAGAAAATCCAAAAGTAGACAGTCAAGAATAAGATAAACACCTGGCAGTCTCTGCAGTTAAACAAAAAGAAGCAAACCTTTCTTGGATTTTTATTCTAGAGGGTTAGACAGACATGTAACTGTACCATTTTCCAAGTAACATTTATTTACCAGAAACTAATTTAATAACATTGATTTAATAGTGGTAGAACACTTTGTACATACTGTGGGTAAGAGATTTTGAGCCACTTTTAAAGCTGGAGTTTTCATTCTCAGCCCTGTTTGTTTTTGTGTTGCTTAAAGTCTAGATCTGTTTGTCCATGAAACATTAATGCCAATGGAGATAAATTTTTAAACAGTTACTTATAAATTCAAACTGGATAGGTGAATATTTTGTTTCCAGGTTTTCCTGCACAACAGTGATCGGAAATATCTGCTTCACGATAATGCACATTTAGTGCCACTCTCCTACAAAGTAATTTGATTAATTAGGCACATATTTATAGTAATCTTAAACTATAATGTATAACTACTGCAATATTTTACTTTTAATGGCATAATTCAAAAGCATTTTTATCATCTAATTCAGACTAATTTCTGCACATTGGTATAACCCACTTTTTCCATACTTGGCTGTTATTTATCTGCAATAATTCGTGCACTGAATAAAACAGTAGTAACTAGCAACTGCAGTCCTCCATTATCAATAATTATCATTATTAAAAAGGCGGAATCGGTAACTCAGAGCAACGACCAAATGTCTTTGTGACCCGATTCTAAAATATTATAGCACAAAAATACTCATTTGTATGCCTATTAAAGGTATCTAGAAAGCTTTAAATTGATTTTCATATATTCAACTTTTGATCTACACTAAGAATTACGTATTCAGTTAAGATGAGAAAATCCAAATAAAAAATCCAATAATTTCAAATCTAAGACACAAGTTCAAAAAATAATTGTGAACAAAATTACAGTTACTATACTTATTTGCTCTTTCTCTATTAATATATTTGGCGTTTCTCTGCTCATGAGCTTGGTCCTCATGCTGTGTTCATTTTTAGCCCCACAATTCTTTTATAGGATTTAGGTCTGTTGACTGAGATAGCCATAGAAGAAATAAGCTTTTGTGTTTGATGCAAGATAATCTGTTAATAGGGTCATATGATTATCCACATTGTCCAGGTGAAAGACCCAATTACAGCAGCTCAAACACATCATGCTTAAAGGTATAGTGGAGGATTTTCACAAATTTTATAAAAGATGCGTCCTCTTCTCATACACTTCCTAGACACTTTTTCTCTTACAACCCTTGGCCATTTTCAAAGGCGAGCTTCAATGACTGGCTGAAACTGTATCTCACCGCACATTTAGACCTGAAAGTGCGTATGCTCAGAAAAAAGCTAACTGAGCATAACATAACATAACATTAACATATCACCAGACAATTAAGAGGACCACTTATTTTGATGATCCACCTGGAAAAAGAACATCCTCCATTACACCCCTACTACAGGAAACAATGCAACTGCCACAATAAGCCAATAGAAATATTACAATTACTCATCTACATTTTTTTTTTCTAATAATTAAATAAAGCTACTCGGAGACTTATTAGTCTGGTACAGGAGAACATTGTGCTTTCCACCTGCCTGATCTGTATTGAAAAACTCTCCAGAAAAGGAGCACATAAGTGGCACATGCCTTTCTTATGACAGGAGCTGAAAGTCCACAAATCCCCAGCGTTTTCTCACATTCAACCTTCTATGACATTTTTTTGTTGTTGTTGCATTATATTTAAAGATGGATAAAAGCAGCTTTACAAAGTTCTCTCAAGCTTTGGAAAGGAAATAGACCCAAAGCATCACAAATCTTTTAGCTGTTGAAAGGGTCTTTTCTACTTAATCATTCTGTATTTCACACCAGAACTACAAGTAGGGAGCCTCTATTAAAAAAGAAAATGTTTTACCAACATCACATTTTCCTTTCCTACTATCACAAATCCTCAAAGTGGGAGGCTTGGAAACTTTACTTGCACTTTAAGGAGCACTTTATGCTTTTTTCAGATTAGACTAAATCTATTCAAGTCCTCTCTTAAGTTTGGTGGAGAATCAGTAGGCCTGGGAATCTGGTTAGCTAATAGCTTCTTAGATTACTTATAAAATCCAAATTTGAAAAAGAACTGGGATGGCTTCCAAAAACACTGAACATGTGTTGTCATGTGTAGTGATCTAAAACATGGCTGCTGCAATGAAAAGTACAGGGGTTATACTCCCTTTATCTTGAATGCAAATCCATGTCATGGACCACACCTGTTATTTGTTTATGTTAATTGCACCTAAATGATTTGCATTTAGTTCTCTTTATTTTTGTTAAGTTAATGTGTTTTGCTTCCTCATTGTGTGGTTGTTGACTGTTATCATTCTGTTGCTGTTCCCCTGTTCCCTGTTTATACTTTATATTTGTGAGTTCATCATTTTTTTTCTAGTATATTTATTCAGCATTTGCCTGTCTTCTTACCACTTTGATCCTTAACCACTGCAAACCATCACAATGTGGCAGGGACTGCAGCTCAGAAGTTTGTTTTGCAAAATTCCTTCAGTATTGCAAAGTTTTAAAGAGAAACAGTAAATCAGACCAGATTATAAAGGAAGTCATAGTCATCTTCACAACTGTTTAACCATCATTTAATGCTGTAGCAGAGATGTTGTATAGCTCTGCAGAAATATTTCAAATCTTGCTTTATTAGAATCTATCTGTATTTGCTTTGACTGAAGTAAAGCATCTTATGTGCACAGTAAGATAAATGTGCTTACATATGCAAGAAAAGCAGCAATTTAGCCCTGCAATTTGGTTGTTTGGTTGTAGTGAAAAGCTGCAGTACAAAGGTTATCACAATAACAATAATCATCCAGACCAAAATAATGGTAAATGCATATCTGTTACCAGACGAATTCATGTGTTTAGCTAGAAATCAGGCTTTTTCTGTCACATTATGCTTCCATTTTAATGACTAAGTATGGAAACTTGACTATAAATGTTTGAGTAAGAGTCCAATCCTTAATTGGACATATTTACAGTCTAAAATAATATTTTTTGTATGTTTTAATGGATTTAAAGAACAGAATAACCTGACCAATCATAAGCTGCATGACAAGTTTCAACAATTTCAGTCATCAGCAGATTATAGTGTAAAGTTGTTTTACATCACATTCCAGATTCTTCCAAATCACAGCTGAAGCAGCAGGGACTGATTTCCTCTAACAATCTATACCAGCTACAATCAATGAAGAAAGATGAAAAGTAATGAAGAAACTGCTGACATTTTTCTGAAGCCTCAGGAGAAAAACAGTATAATGGGGAGTTTTAAAGTGGGCACCAGCTTAATCTTATAAATGCCGATTTAAGGGAGCAGTGTGTACATTTACACTGTTGTTTCTTCCCCTCAGGCCCTGCTGTGAATGTCACCTGCAATATTTTCATCAACAGCTTTGGGTCGATAACAGAAACTACCATGGTAAGTCATTAATTTATAATTTTAAGAATAAAACCTTTTTCAAATACATCCATATAAATTGCATGTTGGTTGTAAAATGCCAAAATTAACTATCTGTGATATTCCTGGTTATAACCCAAAAAATGCTCAACCAGCTTTATTCTCCTTTTCTGACTCTCTTCTTTATTAATCCTCTCACTACTGAAGCCTCTCATTTCTTTTTCTTGAAGCTCAGCAGTGCAACCTTCAGAGACCAATGGGTCACTGACATGCTGATAATGAACTGTCTCCTCAGCAATTAAAATGAAACATTGGAAAACTGAGAAAGAAAGATAGAAGGAAGTGAAGAGGTCTGCATTGATAGTGTCATTGCTGCTGGGTCAGCGCAAAACAGCCAGGAGCCGTTTAAAGGGATCTGAGGGAGTTCCAGAGGATGGTTTCTCCTCCTCTGGAACTCCCTACAACCATATATAAATATTTTGCGTCTGACACCTTTTGCATAATTTAATGGTAAAAACTTTGCTCAAAATCCTATTGAACACAATCAGATATACCTGATAACAGAGGGCAGAAGACTACACAAAAAATAATCTTGACTTATCGCATAGTAATAAATTATTAATATCAACAATGTATTTCTGTTTTTTCTTTTTACCTATTTTGTTAAAAGGCCAAATAAGGACTTCAAACCAAAAAAAAGTAATTTTCTGTTTTGTTTTATTCTTGGATCGGGCTTTAAAGGGTTAAAATATTACAAAAAACATCAATATAAGAATCTGGATTATCAAAGCTTTTGAATGTTTCCTTGTATTTCAAAATGTTTAATATACATTTTTTTCCAGGATATTAATTTTATTTGCAGAGCTTACAACATATCCATCTATCATCGATCCATCCATCAGTCTATGATTCATCCATCTACCCATCCATCCATCCATCCATCCATCCATCCATCCATCCATCCATCCATCCATCCATCCATCCATCCATCCATCCATCTGCCGTTCCGTTTTTTTTTTTAACTTTCAGATCTCATCAACTTACAACAGCAGAGAAGTTTATTTCCTCATCACCTCACCAAACTTCCACTTGCCATATGTTGACCTTGAGTTCTTTTGCAGGACTACAGGCTCAATGTTTTTCTAAGGCAAATGTGGAACGACCCTAGGCTGGCTTACAGTGAATACCCTGATGACTCCCTGGATCTGGATCCATCCATGCTAGACTCGATCTGGAAACCTGATCTTTTCTTTGCAAATGAAAAAGGAGCCAATTTCCACGAGGTCACAACAGATAACAAGCTGCTGCGGATTTTCCAAGATGGCAGCGTTCTTTACAGCATTAGGTAAGTGAAGTTAAAACTTGCACAGTAAAACCACTGACAGTGTTATTGATTTATTCCACTGAACATTAGTTTTGATCCCAGTTTGACTACCTTAACGATATTATTTCCAAATGACCTAAATCAACTGTGAATTGATTGCAGTTCTACTCAGTAGTGTTCAAAAAACAGCTCGAATCAAATGCCACTCAGTGCTGTCCAAAGCAGGCAGGCAGCAAAATAATCTCATCATCCAGAAATTCTTGATCTGAACTGATGAATTTCCAAAGACATGCACCCTCTGCATCTGTCCTCTCATCAGGGATGGAGAAAGCATTGTGAGAAAGATTTAATGAAAATGCCAAACAGAAAGCATGTGACAGGCTTTGATCGAAATTTGCACTGGAGGAAGGAAATCTTGCAGATTTAAGCACAGCACCAGAGAGGAGGATTGCATTTCTGGTCATGACATAGGTGTCACAGTCCAATATTGCTGTCTATTTGCTGTTCGTTCTGTTGAATGTTGCGAGGCAAATGGATATTGTCCTAGGTCTTACTGAAAAAAGAAGCAACACAAATTTAAATGTGACAAAATCACTAGTGTGTCACATTTAAGAATAAGGAAAAAATGACCTAATTTTCTAAAAACATAAATTCTTTGAACTTTGCCTATGATTTAAACTACATTTTAAATGTACATTATAAGCGTTCAAGGAAGTACTTTAAAGTAGTGACAATCTATATAAGGTAAAAACAATTCCAGTATAATTTTTAGGTTTATGAATGTTTAATGGCTGGTATTTTTCAACTTATAAGATAATAAAACAACTATTGTAGGACAATATTTGTTTGTGGCTCTAAAGCTGCAGTCTTATGTTGTGTTGAGGCAGGTTCCAGGATAACAATTATTAGAGTATTACTACTTAAGGTAACTAACTCTGAATGGCTGAAAAGGTTGTGCACCATCAAGCATAGTCTGTTGAACTCAAGTCACAAAATGTTTCATTGAATAGTTTTATATGGATGTGAGAAATTGCAGTGTGAAAAGGTTATTAGAGATAAAGGGTTAGGGAAAACCTTTCTCCAATAAAAACAGTGAAAAAGATAGATATGGCCCTTAAATTAAATGCTTTACTGAATTTTAGTACGTACTAATTGACCCTACATCTGCTCTATTAGCAGAGGCGTGCACAGACATTTTGGGGGGCAGGTGCTCAGGAGGGGAGGGGGGGCACTTTTTAGCGCACGTGGAACACTTAATTATAAAAAAAAAAAATACACACATGTTGAATGAAATTTGACTTTTATTTGTAACATTCTCTAAACGTGAGTTTTCAATGGAAAAAAGTCACATCACCAACAGAACAGACTAAAGCATGCTTCTTTCATCTGGCTCATCTCCCTGTTTTCCCTCATCCATCTGCTCTCCCTCATCCTGCTGTTCTCCCTCATCCTGGTCTTTTTCTGTCTCTGTGTCTTCCCTGAACTCTTCCTCATCTCCTGTCCTGGTAGATGTTGATAGTATAGAGCTTCCCTGCTGTGACTGCCTACAATATAATAATAATAACCATCATGACAATAATAATAATAATAATAATAATAATAATAATAATAATAATAATAATAATAATAATAATAATAATAATAATAGCTTTAACAAATATGCCACATTAGTTTAAATAATGGGCTATTAGGGCAACATGACTGGAAGTCTTGTCACGTGGATATGACTTATGGTAGCCTACAAAATAATAGCTATTTTAATACCTGCTGCACAAACCACTTAAAAATAAAATGTGAACAGCTTTTAAGATTTTTCAATACGATTAACCCTCCTTTCTTGGCATTGTGCTGCAATTACTAAATCAATATACAATTAAGACAATAAAGAGACCAAAATGCTTATAATATAATAAGCATTTTGAGCAAATCAGAGCAAAAAGTCAGAATTCTCAGCAAAAAGTCAGAATTCTGAGAAAAAAGTCAGAATTATGAGGAAAAAAGTCAGAATTATGAGATTAAAGTCAGAATTATGAGAAAAAAGTCAGAATTCTGAGAAAAAAGTCAGAATTCTGAGAAAAAAGTCAGAATTCTGAGATTAAAGTCAGAATTCTGAGATTAAAGTCAGTATTCTGACTTTTTTCCCATACTAAACTGAAATAAAATTTAAAAATCAGTTAACTTATTTTTTTTTTTCAGTGGCCCTAATCCTCTTCCGTAGATTTGCAATTGCAAACTCTACCGAAATTATTTGTAGCCTATATGGTCGTCCTCACGTTATCTGTCATTGGCTTTGGCTACAGTGTAAAACTTTCAGAATCAGAATCAGGTTTATTGCCATTGTTAGTGAAGGAGTTCACAAACTAGGAATTTTTTGTGGTACAATCGTGCAACATGAAACATATAATATGGAATAGGTAAATAAAATTATAAAAATATCTAAAAACTGTGGGTATACGTCATGCAATAAAATAGACTAATATATACACTTAAGATAAAAATATGGATATAAAATATAAAAAGTAAAATAGCATCTTACAAGGAGACAACTAGTTTATCAGGTGACCAGTCGGGAAAAATGCTTGTTTGGTGCTGCTGAATGAGACATTTTAATGCACAACAAAATGATTTGCTTGATCTGTATATTACCTGGCTAATGGGGCACAGGAGAAGCAGCCTGTCAGCGACCGTTCCTGCTATCTGAAGACGCTACTGAACTGCTATGATGCTGGGCATCTGGCATGCCCTGCGGGCGACCGCGCGAGGTCACGTGACAAAGGAAGAGAGATAGGCTGGTCGGGTGTGCTTAAGTAAGTGGCTCATTTCGGGGCATTGTTTCAGTCGTTTTTAATGGCTCAGGTTTTCAAAAGATCATTTCAAAACCGACCTCAGTAAAATCTTAATAATATTAATCCATCCATCCATCCATCCATTATCTTACACGCTTGTCCCAATTGGGGTCGCGAGGGGTGCTGGTGCCTATCTCCAGCAGTCAATGGGCGAGAGGCGGGGTACACCCTGGACAGGTAGCCAGTCCATCGCAGGGCAACACAGAGACACACAGGACAAACAACCATTCACACACACACTCACACCTAAGGACAATTTAGAGAAGCCAATTAACCTAACAGTCATGTTTTTGGACCGTGGGAAATAATATTAATAATAATAAAAAAAAAAAAAACGAGTTTCAAAAGGTCATTTTCTTTGATAAAGGGCAAACTTCCTAGTGCTTTAGCACCACCTAGTGTCTATGTATGCACGCCCCTGTCTATTAGAGAACGCTAATCTTTTTTGCAGAGAAAAAGACTATGTGGCCAGTGTGCAATAGACCTGATTTTAACATTACACCAAAAAACAGTATGTGTAGACCAACTTTAAACGTCAACTGCAGCTCTGTTTGGAGCCATAAATTTAAATTCATATATTTTTTTTTTGGGTTCGTGTCAAAAAAAACTGCCTGGTCTAAAAGTTTTTCTAAGCTTAGACCTAAAACTTAATATATAGGTCCACAAAAAGTGAGTAAAAAGTAAAAAGATTCTTACATTGGGCTTAGTATTGTAAGTTAATTTCATACGTCATTTTGAGAGGATAGCGATATAATTGACAATGTATTCATATATTTGCTGTAAATTTTACAGCCATGGGTGAAAACATGGATTGAAACTGTATTACACTTGGACACCTCTTGTTCATCAATGAGGAGTGGCTGTTAAAATACTTCTTTCATATGAGGAAGACACAGACAGTCCTGCTCTGTACTTTTACTACAGTTGCATGGACACAAATGAGGGTTAAAAAGGCCTGATCAGGTCGAACATTTTTCCTGTTAACATGTCAGACTGAAGATTCTAAATAGATTCGGTCCGATCAGAAAGAACTTTTATTCCAAAAGAGAGAGGTGGTTGTTGCTGATTAGCATTCCGATTGGCGTCTTTTTAAACACCTATTTGCATCTTCGGAGTAAAATAACCTCAAATAATTTGGAGTAAAAAAACTTTATAGTCTTTGTAGTAAAACACACTGGGAAAAATCGAAATCTAGATAAGTCATTTTTTCTCAAAATAAGTGCGTTTTTTCTTGAATTGAGGAGGTAAGTGAGACACTTTGCCAATGGAACGAGACAATTTACATTTAAAATGAGAAAAAAAAAAACTATTTCATTGTCTTATTTCAAGTGTATTTTATCTAATTACCTTATTTTAAGAGTAAAAATTCTCATTCCATTGGCAAATCATCTTATCAACATACTCAAATCAAGGATAAATACACTTAATTTAAGACATTTTGACTTTTTTCTAGATCCTTTTTGCAGCGCAGTCTCATCACTGTGCATGTGTGGAACTCATTCCTAACCTTCATGTACTTGTTGCCCGTCCTTGATGAGGAGATAGCACTAAATGTGAGGATTTAACCTTCAAGTAAATCTATTAAATCTCATTTATAGCTCTAATAACGTAAAAACATTTTTTCACAAATTTGAAACCACATTTAGCCTAGATGCGTATTTACAGTTTAGAAGCCCATTCATCTTCTGCTGCTTATCCTTCACAGATGGCTGGTGGCTACCTCCAGCAGTCTATTGGCAAAAGGTGGGGTACATTCTGGATAGGTGGCCAGTCCTTTGCAGGGCAACATAGAGACATACAGCCATGCATACAGTTTGTCGTGTTTTTTGTGTGTTCTTTTTTGGGGTGGTGCCAGAGTACCCAGAGCGGACCCAGGCTAAAGAACATGCCAACTCCATGCAAAAGACTGTAGGTCGTGAATCAATCCTAGGACCTTCATGCTGCAAGGCAACAGTGCTACTAACTGCTCCACAAAGCAGCCCCCTTTAGAAGTCCAGATGGATTTCTAACTCAAAATGCTTCCAAGGTTTTGAATGTTCATTCTTCTTTTGCTAATTCAAAGTTAACTTCAAACATACTGAATCTGCAACGGGTGATGCTTGTTGCTCACCCCTCAGGTTAGCTTAATTCATTTCTAGATAAAAGGTTTCTTAAACCTGCATCATTATCTAACACTATCTAAATGTGTTGATTCTGTCATCCGTGGTTATTGCAGCTAGAGTAATGTCACCCAAATCAGACATTTGTCTCCCAGGTTGAAAAGAACTAGGCTCGAAATAAATCCATCTATTTGAATACGGATAAAACCTTAGTACTCAGCCTCTCTTAGATCTGCAATATATTTCCAATACACCGAGGTACTGGTCTGTCACATAAATACTTTGCTTCCTAGTTGCGTTTGGTAATTAGGAATCAAATCAACCTGAAATATATGACAGTATTTAAGCAGTGTGAGTAAATTCAATCAGTGAGGTATGTGTAGCTTGTTCTTCTTCAGGAAATGATATTGTGTCATCATAACACATTATCAGATGGGTGTAAGTGTGTTTGTTTCTGGAGGCTCTTGTCTCGCCTCTGGGCAATGCATTACAGCGGGTAATTACACAGCTTTCCCTCAGACATACTCCTAAATAGCTTTCTCTGTCTTTCCTCCCTGAGAATCCTTGAAGCCATAAAGCTTCAACAGCACAACAAAGGAAGTTAGGATGCTGCTGCCAATTACTTCTCATTTACTGTGGTGCAAAGAGTGATCAAATGGTAACACAAGATGTTTTCCAATCTTCTCTCTTTGAGTGATGTTTACATTTTGTCCCTTATTTATTAAGGCTCTATAGACATTTGCATTCTGTTGTAAACAAACATGAGTTTTTTTTTTGTATAAAATTGAATGTTATTTCAAGTTGTCACCCTAATATTTATCTTTATTTCTACAATACTTTCTCTGAGCTTAAGGCCATGTGATATTCCCTATGGAACCCAGTCTTTCCTCCAATCTGTTTCTCTATCAGGTTGACTCTAACCCTGTCCTGCCCTATGGACTTGAAGAATTTCCCAATGGACATCCAGACCTGCACCATGCAGCTTGAAAGCTGTGAGTTTTCCTTTCTTCCTTTTACTTTTTCTTTAATATTTCCTTTTTTCAATCCTTTGATGTTCTGAGCTTTCTAAAAAAAATGCCTTATTCCAGGGAATACTCTCTCTGTCTGACCCTCATATTTGTTCAGTTTGCTTGAATTAACGGTTCTAAAAAAAACTCGATCTCTAGAATGAAATCGTTCATTACTATTTAGACTTTTTGTTAGAAATAGGTTCTCTGTGCCAAGAGTCATAAATAAATGTTCAATCAAAATATATGATTTCGTTTGTGCCAAATTGTGTAATTACTTGGAGAAAATTTGTGATGTGCAAGTTCTGGTATTCAAATCATTACAATAAAGGACAAGTAAAACTAAGTAAAGTACTCATACACATACTTGAAGTGTCCCACTTCAGAACTGGGGGCAGCAGTCTCAGGCGAGATTCCCAGTCTTCCCTCTCCGTAGACACTTCCTACAGCTCTGCTGGGGGAACCCCGAGGCTGAACCAGGCCAGCCGACAGGCATAGTCCCTCCAGCATGTCCTGGGTCATCCTCTTGACATCCTGCCACGTGGATGTGCCTGGAACACCTCCCGAGGTAGGCATTCAGGGGGCATCCAAAAAGATGTCTGAGCCACCTCCGCTCACTCCTCTCGATGTGGAGCGGCTCTAGTCCAAGGTTCTCCCGAATGATTGAGCTCCTCACCCTATCTCTGAGGAAGTGCCCAGTCACCCTGCAGAGAAAATGTAATTTCAGCCACTTGCATTTGGGTTCTTATTCTTTCAGTCATGATCCAGATTTCATGACTATAGGTGAGGGTAGGAATGTAGCCCGACCAATAAATTGAGAGCTTTGCCTTTTCACTAAGCTGTCTCTTCACCACGACAGACCAGTGCAGCGCCTGCTTTTTAGCAGCAGCGGCACCAATCCATCTATCAATCTTCCACTCCATTCTCCCCTCACTTATGAACAGGGCCCCAAGATACTTGAGCTCATCCATTTGAGGCAGGAACTCTCCCCCAAACCGGACGGGGGGAAGCCACCTTTTTCAGGTTGAAAACAATGGCTTTGGACTTGGATGAGCAGATTCTCATGCTGACCACTTCACGCTCGGCTGGAATCCTCCTTAGTGCATGCTGTAAGTCTAGGCAGGAGGGAGCCAGCAGAACCAGGTCCTCCGCGAAAAGCAGATACTCGATCCACTGGTGGCTGCACCTAGAAATCCTGTTGGCTATGAACTGGACCAGTGATAGAGTGTAGCCCTGCAATAGTCCAACATGCACTGGAAACAGGTCCAACAATGCTGGCAATGTGGACCAGACCCCTGCTCCACTTGTACTGAGACTTGATAGCCCCTAGTAAAGTAAATGGCAGTGGTAACTGAGTGGCTGGTGGGCGGGTCGGTGGAGCGAAGTGGGGTCCGAGCAGCACGGATGGTGAGTGGTCCTGCACAGTTGGGCAAACCAGGGGAGAGCCGGAGGGTTCCGAAGCCCGGCTTGGTAACAGCAAGGGGGCCTCGGAGTGGGATCCTAGTAGGAAGCGGAGGTAAACTTGCCTTGGGGCAACAGAGCACGAAGCGACGCTTGGAGAGGGATCCAAGGAATGAGGCAACCTGAGATAGACAGGAAAGAAGAATTGCGAATAGTACACATAAGCTCTCAGAAGACAGTGGCCAACTCAGGCATACCACACTAGATTAACACTCTGCCGTCCTCCAGCTGTCAGATCGCCGCTTAAATGCTCCCAAGCAATGCTGCCAAACGAGCTGCAGGTGTGCAAATTCAAAGTATTTAAATGAGTGCTTTAAAAAGGATTAATAGTACTGTATACTTACTAATTTGCCTGAGCTGGGAAATTACTGCAGAAAACTATAGCTACTTTTTTAAACTGCTTTCATCAACAGTTATTAACAGATGGAATGGTTAAAAAAAAAAAAGTTAAACAAAAAAGGAAATAGATTAATGATGGTTTGATCATCTTTTTTATACCTTTCTTTACACTATTAAATCTTGAACATGCAATAACATTTATATATTAAACTTTTTAAAAGGTTACAGGAGGAAAAAAAAAAGAATAAATGATATTTGCTCTTTTCAGTCTCCTCTTACCTTTAGTGAGATAAGAGCTGCCCTTATGAAACCAATTTCCAGGATATAAATAATAAAACTTTAATTCAGTGTCCCTTTTCTTATATGTGACTCACTGCAATGCCCTGAGGTTATCTAGTTCTTTATCAAAGGAGATCTAAGCTTAGCAAAGGGTGAAATGGACAAAGAATCTATGTCATAAAATAATCTCTGCAGAAGGATGTTCAGCAAATAAATAAGAAAAGTTGGTCTTGTATCTTTTAGCTGATCTAATAACAATTTGTATTGGTGTTCATGGAACTAATCTCAGAGTTTTCAAAGAACAACAGTTTATTTCTGAAAATGTACTCAAGGACAAACCTTTTGTAACAGCTTTTAACTAAACATTTGACATTTAATTGTCAGAACAGTCATTCTAAACAGCTGTGTAGCATTGTGGATTTTTAAGATCCCTTTTCACCTTTAAGTTATACTTCCATCCATTATCTGACACGTTTGTCCCGGGCGCTGGTGCCTATCTCCAGCTGTCTATGGGCGAGAGGCGGGGTCCACCCTGGGCAGGTCGCCAGTCCATCACAGAGCAACACAGAGACAAACAGGACAAATAACCATTCACGCACACACTCAAACCTAAGGAGAATTCAGACAAGTCAATTAACCTAACATTCATGTTTTTGGACTGTGGGAGGAAGCCGGAGTACCCAGAGAGAACCCACACATGCTCAGGGAGAACATGCAAACTCCATGCAGACAGACCCCGGACCGGGAATCGAACATAGAACCTCCTTGCTGCAAGGCATCAGTGCTACCCACTGCACCACTGAGCAGCCTTATATTATATTTATAACTATTTTTTTAAATACTATTTTTTTAAGATATGTCATGTTTATATTTTATTTCCTGCAGAATAAAGCTCTGGCAATAAGATATATCCAAATAAAAGTTTGTTTAATTTATTTAAACGTAAAAAAATAAATAAAAAATTGGTGTTGATAATTTAACAGTATATGGATTAAAAAAGGAGCAGTTAGATTAAGAGTTGAATAAGGGCAGATTCCAATAATCAGGAAGGTAAATGAGTGACTTCTGTTTAAGAAAGAACAAAGTTTTGGGGGAAGGAGATCCTGGTGGCTTGTAGAGGCAGGTGCTGCAGCAAGGATGAATGTTTTAGAGAGAATTTCTATAAGGTGAAGCAGATAAAGATATAAGCTCTTGACAGACAGTATAAGATGCTGGAAAGCAGACAGACAAGTGATGACTTTAGATACTGGTTCTGTATTGGACAAATGTAGATCGATTTTCAGGAGCTGGCTGTAATAGTGAAGATATTCATCCTTGTTTGCTATAGAAAACTGTCAAAAGCTTTCACCTGCTAGGCATAGAAGACAAAGGAATCTAACTAAAAAGAGGTTAGCAGATGAATGTGAAAAATAACTCAAAAATAGTGTCAATGAGGGTATACCTGGGCTCAATTTAAGGATTTTTATCAGGTAAGTTCTGTTTGTGTTAAAAGTATGACATCCTTAAAGTATGTAAAGAAGATTCAAAACTCAAATAACCAATAAGCATTCCTTGTTTGGGCAGGAAATTTGCAAGGTCCTGTATGGCCACCCTTCTTATTAGAAATCTGTTCTGTTCGATTCTAAAGTTGAGAATATCCTTCTGTCCATCAACCTGTGAAAAATCACCAAATGCCATTCTGACCTGAGGCCACTCTGACAGCAAAGATTCCTCTTCATTTATCGGTCAACAGAGACTTATGTCAGTTCTGAAAGATATAATTGGCAAGGAACTGGACCTCCATATGAGCAGCTTCCTGGTTCCAGCTTAGTTAGCTGGTAATATAAACTTTTCTTTGGGTCTGTACCCCATTTCATTCCTTTTTCATTTCTTCTTTGTAGTTGTTTGTAACAGTGCATTTGCTTTTTAAAGAGATTTTGAGAGCTGAATATTTTAGAGCACTGGAAAACTGAGTAGTTTACAGGTGCTGGTCATAAAATTAGAATATCATGAAAAAGTAGATTGATTTCAGTAATTCCATTTAAAAAGTGAAACTTGTATATTATATTCATACATTACATACAAACTCATATATTTCAGATGTTTATTTTGTTTAATTTTGATGATTACAAATGACAACAAATGAAAATCTCAAATTCATCATATCAGAAAATTAGAATATTGTGAAAAGGTTCAAAATTGATGGCCCCTGGTGCCACACTCTAATCAGCTAATTAACTCAAACCACCTGCAAAAGCCTTTAAATGGTCTTTCAGTCTAGTTCTATAGGCTACACAATCATGGGGAAGACTGCTGACTTGACAGTTGTCCAAAAGACGACCATCGACACCTTGCACAAGGAGGGCAAGACACAAAAGGTCATCGCTAAAGAGGCTGGCTGTTCACAGAGCTCAGTGTCCAAGCACATTAATAGAGAGGCGAAGGGAAGGAAAAGATGTGGTCGAAAAAAGTGTACAAGCAAGAGAGATAACCGCACCCTGGAGAGGATTGTGAAACAAAACCCATTCAAAAATGTGGGGGAGATTCACAAAGAGTGGACTGCAGCTGCAGTGAGTGCTTCAAGAACCACCACACACAGACGTATGAAAGACATGGGTTTCTGCTGTCGCATTCCTTGTGTCAAGCCACTCTTGAACCACAGACAGCGTCAGAAGCGTCTTGCCTGGGCTAAAGAGAAACAGGACTGGACTGCTGGTGAGTGGTCCAAAGTCATGTTCTCTGATGAAAGTAAATTTTGCATTTCCTTTGGAAATCAAGGTCCCAGAGTCTGGAGGAAAAGAAGAGAGGCACTTCATCCACGTTGCTTGAAGTCCAGTGTAAAGTTTCCACAGTCAGTGATGGTTTGGGGTGCCATGTCATCTGTTGGTGTTGGTCCATTGTGTTTTCTGAGGTCCAGGGTCAACGCA